GGATGATGTCGTACAATCGTTATGATGGTTTGAACATTATCGTCACATTGAGCGGAGATTATTGAGCTGCTTTTGAGCTRAACTGAAGATGACATGTTATTGCTCTACCTYAAAATTTTTCTCAATARGCTTAAACTCTTTTGTAGATATTTCTCATTAACACTCATTTCTTTAGCCTATTATTCCTTTATACAGAAGCGGATCCAGCTTTCGAGTCAGGGGGGGGGGGTCAAGTAGTAGAAATTTAATCTTTTGTTGTCCATGAAATTGGAAAAATTCTCGTTAGTCGTTAAAAACCCAGCACAAGGGGGGGGGAGGTCATGACCCCCCTGACCTCCCCCCTTTGGATCCGCCCTTGCCTTTATACTACAGGAAAGTAATAGAATTTATCAACACTTGTGAATCTAGTAGACAGTAAAAATGGTTTAACATTATATGTTATTTTAACTAAAAGTTAAAATTTATTGCAAATTTTGCTCCTAGACTAGTTATGCTTACTTACCTGTCCATTTATTTAGAGAACGTGGTGCCTGACTTCTGTCCTAATAAAAGCGTCTGGTGCTTTGCGCGCGTTGCTCTTAACAATGAATTTGAAGAGGAATATAACGAAATCAAAAGAATTCAATTAAAATGAACCTGATGTTTCATGATTTCGTTATTGTTTCCAAATTATATGAATTATCAACAAATAAAAGATCAAAACAATCAAACAAACGTAAAATCTGCTTGCTTTTGTTTTGTTGGTCATGTTTGAAGTAGTTACTTAAGTTAAAATAAATATGTTATACGGAGCTTCAACAAATTCTCAATCATAATTGCTTTAAATTGTTCATTTAAAACCTCAAGGGTATTTTAATGCTATGCAATTTGCCCCGGCACCGTTTACCCATAGCAATTTTTCGTAAAAGCGTTATTTAGTCGACAATTTTTATTTACTTTTTTTAATTTTTGATAGGCATCCTTTTAAAACTGATTAAAGATGATGTTGTTCATACTTCTTAAGTGATGAATTGCTTATGTAAACTATCATATAAATTTGGAAACAAACTGTTATCTAATTTCAATTTAACCCACTTTACCTGTGAGTGAAACATTCTAGAAGGACAAGTATCGTCTGATTCTGATCTGCGTGTGTGATAATGCGATATTCAGTATTAAGGTCAATGTGTTTTTAACTTGGCCAAAAATGTTAAATTATTCTCTATAGCTTACTATAAGTATGCAAGTATTAAAAAAAAGACTTTTAATATTAACTCTTGTCGAAAAGAATGTTGTTGCAACTATAAATGCAACATATGTTTATTAAATAGCGCGAAAGAAAATGCTCAAAAATTCAATTCCTCCTTCAAAAGCTTTAAACTGCTTTTGTTTTTTTTTATATACTGTAAAGTTTGAAGAGTACTAAAAAAAAATGAAAATTTTTTTTCGAAAATTTCTAGAAGTTATTAACAGTTGAAAACCGAATTTCAACTTCCACTTTCCGTTTTGTTGTGTTTGTCTTTCTTGTTACTACAGTTTGAAATAATTCAGAAGTAACAGGTTAATGAGGCTGATTACCTTGAAGAACACTGTTGCCATCCTTCTGATCCAGTTTCTTGCTATAATTTTTTTTACTTTTTTTTCTTGTACTCTCAAAACACCCCCTTGGGAATGACGCCATTTTTGAATCACCCTGCATACTGTTTTGCTAAACCGTCCAATAGCAACCAAAAAATTAATTCATTGATTAATTCAATTGAGCTTTGGCTTGTATGAAATTTAAAAACTCGAGAGTTTCGCATTGAAAATATTTGAAGAACCTTAACACTTTAAAACAGTTTGACGCACTAAAGCAACAATAGGTGACCAAAACACTGACGTGAAATCAATTACAATCGCAACTTTCTGCAAAACCGTTTTTTAGTCAACAAACTTCCTAGAGTAAAATGTATTTATTAACTGAAGTTGTGGTTCCATTCAAAGACCCCCTTTCGAAAATTATGTAGTGTTTCATTCATTCCCAAAATTATTATTAATATGAATAGGTATAAAACAGAGCGAAAAACGGAGTAGAAAAATAAACTTATTTTAAGGCCCACTAGAAGTATCTGTTCTGTGCCGGTTGCGTATGGAACACATTCTTCGGAATTTCCATGTATAAATACGTAAATTTACTGTGACTTTGAACATTTTCACACCGTTTTAACTTTCTTTCAGAATCGATTTGAAATTATTATTTTTAAGATTTCCAGAACACAGAAAATAGCAATGACTAGAACAAAGGCAGAATGCGAAGTTAATCTTAAAATTTCAGCAGGCAACATACCTTATGTCTACAACAATGATTTTTATTTTTAGGTATAATTAAATACATGTATACTTTATCACCAAAAACTTGCTGTTCATTCTAAGCTATAATAAATTAAATATTTATAGATCACTTTTGTTGACTTAGATCTATATCTGTTCTTATAATTCAAGTAGGTATGTATCTTAAAACGTCTCTTGAAATGGACGTGCGCGTGTTATTGCTAATAATATTGTTACTTTCTACAACTGTAACTTTTCACTCTAAATGGAAAATGCTTATTCATAACTTCCTTAATTGATGTGCCTGGGGGAAAGAGCTGGGCATATTTTTGCACCTAGTCGCTAAGAACTTAAGAGAATAAAAATATTCCGGTTTGTCAAATTCGTTTATGGTAGATTGAAAATATTTTTCGCCTATTTTTGAAATTTATTACATGTTTTAATACTATTTCCCCAATCTAATCAACTAAAGTGGCAGGAAGCGCGGGACAAAAAAATGGTTCGGGAGCGCAACTACTTATGCACCCATCAGGAACTTAGATATAACTATATTAGTAACGGGTTATCCAATTCGAGGTTGGGAAAGTAAAACCATCCGAAGGGTTTTTGTTTTAGTTGAAGGTTTGCCATTTTGGAATTTTAGCAGCACCTAAATTTCCATGCATGCAAGTGATGTCTGATTCGAAACGAGATGGACCTCTTGAAAAGAGGGACTCGTGGTTCATGACATGGTTAAACTTAACATTAACCTTGTGATTTTGGGAAATTTTTAATGAAGAAGACAGGGGATTGGATCTGAACTCGTGCACAATCAGTACCAGAAGTGCCTGGAGAAAATACTGCACTGTACTACACTGCCCTGCTGAGACAAGAAGTCGTATCTGAAATTTTTCACTTTTTCAGCTTATGCAGAATACTGGTATAACAGAGTTTGTTTTACCTCCCAGACAAGGTCTGGAGTCGTATCATCATTAGAATACGGGTTTTCAATGATATTTATATGTCCTATCTGCAAAAATCTACCAGTTACCAGGTCAAAAAGTCGTATTGATAATTACCAAGTCATATTGTCGTATGTGATTAAAAATATTTCGAATTACGACATTCTGGCTTGGTATCTGTACTAAGTCGTAATGATCAAAAAGTCATATTGATAATTATTATTGAGTCTTTTTGCCGTATGACGTATATGCAAGTGTGGTTAGAGATATTATGGTTAGAGTTCGTTTATTAACTGATATTATTACTGCGATTATTTTAGTGGTTGTGTTTGTTAAGTTAGTTTCGAAAGTGTTATATAAGTTGTTTAT